AAAATGATCTGAGGGAAATTTGCAGATTATCTCACATGATTTCCTATCTTGACACTTGGAAACATATAATAAAGTGTTGACCACTGCGATCCTTCTTTCACGATTTGCTCCTTGATATAAAGAACATCCAACAGTCAGATTCCTGTGACCTTTATAAATCTGTTTTACTTCCTCCCACAAGGAATTCACTAGGCACACAGCATCCTCTTCCATAACACAGATGAGCTGGTAGCTCATACCCAAGACTTACAACAGAAATGAAACTTTTTGCCCATACATCCCGAGGGACATAACACCTGCTCCAATCTAATTTCTCCCACCTGACCTCTTTGGATGTCTTCAATTTTTGAAGAAATCTCAGAGTAGTGTTCAAATTTTCTGGCTTCCTGTCGCTTTGAAATTATTGGGAAACCCAATCTATTATGCAATGCCATTCACACTACTAATTTTGTATGTATTTAATACTTATGAATTATTTAAACACGTGTTATTTCAAATCTAGGGGTAAATTCAAGAGAACGTTAAAATCACTTGATTAAAAATGCAGTCAATGAATTTCATTGCCATTCATGTACAACTTCTCAATCATAAATAATAATTTCGTTATATTTTCAACCTAATTTCTCCTTTTTCCATTTTGGTCACGGTGGAGCATATGACAAATAAACCTATTTCCTGCTCTACTTTCTTCATACAATTTGTCAATGTGCTGTAAAGAAGGTTTGATATTTAATTTATGTGTCAGATTCACCTGCACACGTCCCCAGTTTTCTGGTCAAACATTATTCTGTGTGTTTCTGTAAGGATGATTTTGGATGAGAGTATTATTTAAATCAGTAGCCTGAGTTAAGTCAGTTGCCCTCTATAATGTGGGAAATTCACATCCAATCCACTGACGGACTGAGACGGCCTGAATAGAACAAGGCTGACGCTCCCTCAGGCAAAAGAATATTACCCTGTCAGATGGACTTCCAGCAGTGTTTCAGCTCTGTAGACTTTACGTGTGCCAGACATATTAATCTCTCTCTCTCTGTCCTTGTCCCTCTTTCTGTAATATATTTCTCTATGTATATATGTACATACATGTTATAATATATAATGTGAATATTTCATCTGTCATTTCATGTGCATCATTACCTAGGGCCAATTAAAATAAACATTTTCAAAGTTATTAGGAAGTGAAATTAAAGCCAAACAAATTAATGTGACATGACACATGGGGTGTGGAATTATGACAAATATAATGAGCTATTAGCAAATAACTGAAGTTCAGGAACCATTGCCTTAGCACGTCCACCAAAGATTTCATTTCTGCCTTTTCAGTGATTTAGATGTTAACAGGTTTTCTAAGTTCCTCCCTTCTATCCTGGATATGAACACTACTCTTTTCTATGCTGTCCCCATGGGCACTGAAGAGTGTTGTGATGGGTCATGGTTGGTGAGGGCCCTGTCTGGTTTAGGAATAAAGTTGCAAATCTCGCTTTATGATACTGTTTAATGTGAGAAAACATGTTTATTTGAATCAAGATGTCCCATCTCACCTGACGTGAACTCTTCCCTAGACCACTGTCGTGTGTTTAAAATTCCTTTATCAGGAAATTAATCACTTGTATTCCATAAGTAAATACCAGGTTTCAATTGTGAGAAACCGAAATTAGGTATAAGATACCATATAAGACTCACTGCATCACATACAAGTGATTCAGAGTGTTGTTGGGACTGGAGAGATAAGAAAACACTAAAGGCCTGACCTCTGGATGAAATGTGAACATAGGGAACATCTGATATATTTGCTTTGCTCCACTCATTCAAACAGTGTTTTAGGTCTTTGAAGAGAGTAATTAGAAAAAAATTTTCACTGGTTATTGTCTGTCTTCTTCTTAACGTTCCAGAACCCTCAACCTGCCATAATATCTTCGCTGCCAATATCTACCCCTTAACCGTCCAATTTGGTACTTTGACATATCGCCCATGCATTTAGTAATAGTCCTTTCATATCTTTCATAATTCTTCCTGCAGTCAGAAGGAAGAACTGGCCTAGTAATTTGTCTTGGCCAAATAATCAGGAAGCTTCTTACGAATGGGGTTTTACAATGGGACAGCAGTAAGAAGAGGGGAATGAGGAGGCAAGGAACAGAAACAGGAGACACTTGAAACCTGTGAAAGATTCATCAGCTAGGCATGTGCCAGAAGACCAGGACTTAAACTTTCCTTGCAGCTCAGCCACATTTTCACTGACTACTATATATTTTTTAAATAATATGGTACATTGTTATAAAAATGAAGGTATATCATTTAATATATAAGGGGAAAACGTAAAGATGTTAAAAGATGAGCATGTCTATTAAACGGACAAAAATAATCACTGCTTATACTTTCCTGTATTTAGTGTTATGAGTTTTCAATTTTCATATGCACTCATGTCTATCAGGTTACTGATTTGAGATCATCTTTTGTAATATAGATATCTCCAGGCATAGGTTGCTCTCTTTGTGCTGCATTACATTTATCCCCAAAGTTCTTGTATGTTTCCTTTTCATTTTCGTTCATCTCAAGTTACTTTTTATTTATTTGATATTTCTTCTCCACACCATTGTTTATTGAGCAATGTGTTTCCAAACTAAAAGATGTCACAGCAGCAGAGAGTAGAATGATGGTCAGCAGAGTCTGAGGGGTCGGGGAATGGTGGAGATGTTCGGCCAAGGGTACAAGCATGCAATCATACAATGAATGATTTCTCAGAGTCTACAGTACAGCATGGTGATCTAGCTAATAACACTAAGTTGTGTACTTGAATCTTGCTGAGAAATTAGACCATAAGCATTCTCATCACACACACAAACACACACACACAAACACACAAACAGAGAGACATACACACATTACATTGTTACCAATGAAGTGATTAATGTGCTTATTGACCGATGTTGGTAATCACTGCATAAAGTACACATATTTCAAATCATCACATTATACACCATAAATATGTACAATTTCATTTGTTAATTATACCTCAATAAACCCAGAGTGAAAGCCTTAAGAAATATTCATCATACAACAGAATAACAATGTTTGAGCATCTCTGTGTTTCTTCTCCGCCTTGGCTCTCTCAGGATCTAATACTGTTCTCTGAGAGAGCTTCCTTTATCCATTATTCTCCGGTGTCCTTGTACCCATCTCAGAGTGGATACTCCCTTTTAGTCACCTGTACTAAACATATCCGATTTGTGTAGGGTAGAAAGTGGGGAAAGGTGGGCTGGAAAGTCGTTAGTAATCTTGAAAATCATTCTTTTTCATTTGGGCACATAGTATATTTAGTTTTCAATTCCTTAAAAAACTTCCTAGGCACCTGATATAATTCAGTCCTCCAATCATTTCTATGACCTACGTATCTCAGCAAGGTCCTTGTGTAGAAGTAATTTTCTGGACAGATTAAATTATTGCCTCTCCCTCTAACATAATACAGCTACCTTGAGGCTCCCTGGCACACAGGTGGAAAGATGACAACTTCTGTCTCTTTTCTCTGCTGTAACAGTCAACTGAAATTGGACTCCTACTTGAAAACTACTTCTAATCTCATGTCTTACTCTTTAGGAATTATATGCTGTGAGTTTTCTAATCAAAAAGGTTTTGAATTTCTGGGCTGTATTATTTTTCTTTTCATTTTCATTTCTTTCGAGTCAACGAGAAAGTTTCTCCTGAACATATGACTCCTGAAATACCCTGGGAAAATCAAGAAATGAGCAACCTTTGGTCTGCCTCTAAAGATACAGTGGACAACCATTACTTCAAACATTTTGCCTTTGAATAACATGTAGCACCACATTTACGGCTTCCAATATCAGATTCCTTTCCAACCACCTCCAGACACATAAGCCAATGCCACAATTTTAAGATTTGTTACAGGAGCATCCCATTCAAAGAACTAATTTCTATGTCAGTTCAAATAACAGTAGCTACAGTAGAGACAACTCCCAAATATCAGAGTCAATTTTACAGTAATGTCATAGTCTGATGAGCGTTGAGGTGTAACATGGGCATCTTTTTGCTTGTGCAGTCCTGGCATCTTTGGCTCCTTTACTTCTAATCACAAGAGGAGATATGCTTAATGAACACATCCCTTTTCACAGCTTACTGGACCAGTAATCTAAGCATTTGGAAAACAAGCTGCATAGCAACAGTCATTTTGTAAATCAGGGTAAACATTGGAATCCCCAGTGTACCTCACAGGTGGAGTCAAAATAATCAAGAATGTAATTTCCGAGGTGAAAAATGTAAGACCCTGAGCTTGTTGAATTTTGCAGTAAGAAGAGCACATTGTACACATGGAGAGCAGGCAGCACTTTGCCTGGTAAGTTCCCTTTAAATTCCCTTTATTTGTACTACCCATGAATACAGAACTACTATAATTTTATACAGAGCATCCCACTAATTTCCCAAACTGGTTATTCTGTGGTGTCACATTGAAAATTCATTTAAATTGGAAAAGAAAAGGAACACAGAATATGAACGGGTAATAGAGTTTAAGAATATCCTTGCTTGCTCTACTAGGTATGTCTGAGCCACTCCCCTTCTGGAACACCTGGGGGTGGTGGTGACAGTGCTGGTCATGGTGACGGTGATGATGACAGGGACAATGATGATCGGCCACCTTTCAAATGCCAATTATGTGCTCGGCACTTTGCCAACTAAATGAAACACATTCATGAAATTTTTATGCCTAAGCAAGTTGGCACAGTAAATGTGATTTTCCCCAAAGTTTATTAAAGGTATTGAAATCCCAAAAAGTTAAATAATTTGTTCCTCAAATCAATAAAGCACTAATTGGGAAAATAACCTGGATTTGAAACTGTATAGAAATAATCATTGATATGACTAAAAATTCAGATAACACTGACTGTGAGAGCCAGAAACTCGGGATCATAGAAGGATAGAAATTAAGCAAAATTATGATATGATATTGTTAAAAGCAGGTTTTAGAAGAAAAAAGTTTTTTCCCATCACACAAATAAATTGTATTTTATTCAGGAAGTGGAGGATAAGTAACAATTGCTCAGCTGGTAGAAACCCATGCCCAGGTGACCGACCGACACAGAAGACAGCGAGAGAATCCTCAGAGGGTGCCCAGGAGGAGAGCTGCTGCTCTTCTTTCTGAGGTTCTGCTATACTTTCTAGGGCCCCTCTGAGAGGCTAACCATTTAGCAGCCTCAGATAGGAAACCTCTGTCTGTCAGGAAGCACCACACGCATATTGAGGCTGAAGGGTGGAGAAGCTTCTTCCGTATCCATGATAGGCTTTGAAGAGAAGAGGAAGGTGGAGCTCTGGAGCTAGTTGAGTCGATTGTCCTTATCCTTTCCAGATGCAGATAAAAGCTCAAGCTCTTACATCCTCTTGGGTGGGCACTTCTGCTAGCAATGATGAGCAGGTGCCCCAGGAGGGCATTTCTGCTTGCACTGCTGAGGTACGCATGGGTCAGGGCACTTTACAGGTCGGCAAGGGTCTGGACACTTGCAAGGTGGGCAAGGGTCAGGACACTTAGGTGTGCACACTGGTGGTGGCTGACAGGGCTGCTTGCACTGCTGATGTTGGGAAGACATCTTTCTGGAGTCTTAATATCTAAAAGAAAGTATATGACCGTGTTTACAAGAAGGAATTCCTATAGAGAAAAGAGCAGAAGCTTGTGGAATAACAAATATATCAATAACAGATATATCTCCTCAAACTCTAAGTATGTGCTTTAATCTCTTTAATAGCTTTAAATGAATTTCTGTCTTCTCTCTCACTCTTCGGAAAATCATTTCATCAGCCCAGAGAAAATCTTCTCTTTTCTCATACAACTTATCCAAAGAAAATATCTTTGTTTTAAAGAAAGAAGCTGTGTTTTCTCTTTGGTTTCTTTCTTTATCTCTTTCATTTTTTTTAATGAAAATGACATCTTCAAAAAAGGCAATCACAAGTTCTAAAATCCTGGGCAAGCTCACAAGCAATTTCTATCACCATTTTGTCTCATGTGGTCCCGACAGGATGACTTATGTACAGAGCAAAGGGCAATCAGGATGAATGTAAGGGCATCACACCTTCTAAGATAAATGCCTCTGAAAGCACAGCAGAAGTCCAAGAGAAAGGCATAGAAAAAGGTAAATACTTTGCTTTTTATCCCTTCATGCCAAAATTTCCTGTTAATTTCTTTTTCAATAGAGGAATTCAAACTAGTATCAGAAATCTAGTAAATACAATACAACATTGTGCCCACATTCCACGTTCCCATCCACCAAATAGCATTATACCCATGATCATAACTTTGGACCCATCAACTTGCTGTCTCCAGCATAAGGTCAACAATCGGGTTTCCAAGAACAAAATTGAACTGAAGAATCAGACTCACCAGGTTTTCCAAAGTCAATTGGAACTCGAGTAGCAGGAGGATAGCCATCGAGCAGCAGAGAACCTATTTATTGGGGCTTGCTGCCCCTCCCAGGGGGAAGAGGAGCTACCAAAACTGGCCTGGTCCAATCATTTCCCAACCCAAATGTAAATCCATCCATAACTGACTTGGCAGGGACTCTGCAAACATGAAATATCCTGTTCCAGGATCTCCTCACTAGATTATGTTCTCATGACTCACAGAGTCCCTGCCTTAGCTCTCAGTTTCAGTGGTTTAAGGCAGTGGGAGCACTTGGAGCGTTCTCTAATTTATAGTCAAAAGTTCCATTCCTTGACTGGGGAGGATGACCCTTTCCTATCTTTCACCATCCTTGACTTCTAAAACTGCCCGCCTAGTTGCACTTGATCTGGTGGCAATTTTGTTGTACATACTGGTTTGAAACAGACCTTGCTGCCTTGTGACACATGTTTCTTTACCTCAAGTCTTCCTTACAATTCATTTCCCCTTGATTCATGGCTTGCTAAACAAAGTCTCCTTTCGTCTTCAAAAATGGACTGAGGGAAATTTGCAGATCATCTCATATGTTTTCCTATCATGACACTTAGAAATGTGTAGTAAAGTGTTGACCACTATAGTCCTCCTTTCACTGTTTGCTCCTTCAAATAAAGAACATCCAGCAGTCAGATTCCTGTGACCTTTATAAGTCTGTTTTACTTCCTGCCCCAAGGAATCCACTAGGCACATAGCATCCCCTACCATAACTCAGATGAGCTCACAGCTCAGACTCTAGACATAAAACAGAAATGAAGCTTTTTGCTCATACCTCCCAATAGTGACATAACACATGCTCCAATCTAATTTCTCCCAACTATGCTCTTTGGATGTCTTCAATTTTCGAAGAACTCTCAGAGGATTGTTCAAATTTTCTGGCTTCCTGTCACTTTGAATTTATTGGGAAACCCAATCTATTGTGAAATGCCATTGACGCAAATAATTTTGTATGTTTTTAATAGTTATGAATTATTTAAACACGTGGTTTCACATCAAATCTATGGGTATATTCAAGAGAAAGTTGAAATCACTTTATCAAAAATGCAGACACTGAAGTTCATTGCCATTCATATACAGATTCTTCATCAACAATAATAATTTTGTTATATTTAGAACTATTTTTTGCAATTTCCAATTTGGTCATGTTGGAGCATATGTCAAATAAACCTATTTCCTGCTCTACTTTATTCCTACATTTTGTCAATGTGCTGGAAGGAAGGTTTTATGGTTAATTTATGGGTCAGATTCACTGGCACAGGTCCCCAGTTTTCTGGTCAAACATTATTCTGTGTGTTTCTGTAAGGTGATTTTGGATTAGAGTATTATTTAAATCAGTGGCCTGAGTTAAGGCGGTTGCCCTCTATAATGTGGGAAATTCTCATCCAATCCACTGACAGCCTGAATAGAACAAGGCTGACACTCCCTCAGGTAAAAAGTGTTCCCCTGTCAGATGGACTTCCAGAAGAATTTCAGCTGTGCGTGTCCCAGACATTTTAATCTCACTCTCTCTGTGTCCTTGTCCCTCTTTGTGTAACATATGTCTGTATTTATATATGTACATACATGTTGTAATATATAATTTGAATATTTCATCTGTCATTTCATGTACATGATTACCTATGACCAATTAAAATAAAAATTTTCAAAGGTATTCTGAAGTGAATTTAAAGCCAAACATATTAATGTAATATGACACATGGGGTGTGGAATTACGACAAATATAATGAGTTATTAGCAAATAACTGAAGTTCAGGAACCATTGCATTAGCACGTCCACCAAAGATTTTATTTCTTCCTTTTCAGTGATTTAGATGTTAACAGTTTTTCTACAGTTCCTCCCTTCTATCCTGGACACAAACACTAGTTTTTTCTATGCTGTCCCCTTGGGCACTGAAGAGTCTTGTGATGGGTAATGGCTGGTGAAGACTCCTGTCTGGTTTAGGAATAGAGTTGCAAATCTCGTTTTATGATACTGTAGAATGTGGGAACAGATGTTTAATGGAATCAGGATATCCCATCTCACCTGACATGAACTCTTCCCTAGACCGCTGTCGTGTGCTTAAAGTTTCTTTATCAGGAAATAAATCTCTTGTATTCCATAAGTAAATACCAGGTTTCAATTGTTTGAAACCAAAATTAGATATAAGATAACATTTGAGACTCACAGCATCACATATATATGATTCAGAGCGACGTTGGGAGGGGAGAGAGAAGCAAAGCCCTAAAGATCTGATATCTGGGTGAAATGTGAACTTACGGTACATCTGATATATTTGCATTGCTCCACTAATTCCAACAATGTTTTAGGTATTTGAAGACAGTAATTTGAAAAAAAATCTTTCTCTGTTTATTCTCTGTCTTCCTCTTCATGATCCAGAACCCTCAACCTGCAATATTACCTTCACTGCCATTATCTTCCCCTTAACAGTCCAACTTGGTACTTTGACATGTTGCCCATGCATTTAGTAATAGTCCTTTCATATCTTTCATAATTCTTCCACCAGTCAGAAGGAAGAACTGCCCTAGTAACTTGTCTTGCCCAAATAATCAGGACACTTCTTCGGAATGTGGGTTTATATTGGGACAGCAGGAAGATGAGGAGAGTGAGGAGGAGAGGAACAGAAAGAGGAGACGCTTGAAAACTGTGAAAGAATCATCAGCTAGGCATGTGCCAGAAGGCCAGGACGTAACCTTTCCCTGCAGCTCAGCCATATCTTTACTGACTACTATATATTTTTTAAAATATTATGATAATTTGTTACACGAATGAAGTTACATCATATAATATACAATGGGGAAATCATAAAGCTTTTCAAAAATGAGCACATTTATTAAATGGCCAAAAATAATCGCTGCTTACAATTTGCTGAATTTAGTGTTAGGAGTTTTCAATTTTCATAAACCCACACAAATGCATAGATGTCTATCAGCTTACTAATTTGAGAACTTTCATCTTTTGTAAAATAGATATGTCCAGCTGTACGTTGCTCTCTTTGTGCTTCATTACATTTATCTCTAAAGCTCTGTATGTTTTCTTTTCATTTTCATTCATCTAAAGGTATTTTCTATTTATTTGTTATTTCTTCTTCAGACCATTGTTTATTTAGGAATGTGTTTCCAAACTCACAGATGTCACAGAAACAGAGAGTAGAATGGTGGTCAGCAGGGTCTGAGGGGTAGGGCAAAAGTGGAGATGTTCAGCCAAGGGTACAAACCTGCAATCATACAATGAATGAGTCCTCAGAGTGTACAGTACAGCATGTTGATCTAGCTAATAGCACTCAGATGTGTACCTGAATTAGACCGTAAGCATTCTCATCACACACACACACACACACACACACAAACAGAGAGACATACACACATTACATGGTTAATGATGAAGTGATTAATATACTAATTGACCAATGGTGGTAATCACTGCACAAAATACACATATGTCAAATCATCACATTATACACTGCAAATTGGTACAATTTAATTTGTCAATTATACCTCAATAAACCCGGAGGGAAAGCCTGAAAGAATAACTATCATACAACAGAATAACAATGTTTGAGCATCTCTGTGTTACTTCCCCTCCTTGGCTCTCTTTGGATCTGATACTATTCTCTGAGACAGCTTCCTTTATCCATTATTCTCTGGGGGCCTTGTATCCATTTCAGAGTAGATATTCCCTTTTAGTCACCTGTACTGACCATATCTGATTTGGGTAAGTTGGAAAGTGGGGAAAGGTGGGCTGGTAAGTCGTAAGGAATCTTGAAAATCTTACTTTTTTGTTTTGGCACATAGTGTATTTAGTTCTCAATTCCCTCAGAAACTTATTAGGCACCTGATATAATTCAGTCCTCCAATCATTTCTTTCTTTCTTTCTTTTCTTTCACACACATGCACTGTACTTTATTTTTACAAGAGATAAATAAACTGACACCAAGCATTGTAAATGGATGATCACAACAATGACTGCAAGTACCAAACATGAAACACACTCATACTATGTTGTAATATTGACATTCAGTCCAGTAATCCCCACTGTAACAGTCCTTTACTTTGCAGTGAAAATTGATTTGTATAATTTTTGCCTCTGATTCCTTGTGGGATTTTTGTTGTTGTTCAAACAGAATGTCACAAAAATTATAATCATCCTCATCAGTTCACTCAGTCCCATGTAATTAATTTTTTTCATCTTAATCTTTTGTTAGCACTTTTATGAATTCATCAATTTTGCTTTAGAGTTTTGAAAATGCTTATTCATTCACTTCAGCAGTATAGTCAGTTACCAGAAAACTCTAATTATCAGTGTGTTTTCCATGAATTCCTTGAAGATGAAACCCTTTTATAGGAATATTTTTGCAAAAGCATCAGAGTACACCCAGAACTCTCTGTAAATGACAAAAAACTTAAAAATGTCCACAGTTAAAGATTTGATGAAAGTTCATGGTAATGCAATTGACAAGGAAATTTAGTTATTTCTGAGATATACATTTTAAAGTTATAACTAGAATTATGACTTATAACATTATAGAAGAACATATAAGATTTTTAGAAATTTCATGTAATGTCTGAAACATTTATATTAACATATATCCATACAAATAAACCAAAGAAAGTTTAGTATTAGTTGTCTTTTTTGGTTTGATGGTTTGTTTCCATTATACTGCAGGTTCTTATTAGTCATCAATTTTATACACATCAGTGTATACATATCAATATTAATCACCCAATTCAGCACAACAGAATCCCCACCCCACAACGTTTTTCCCCCTTGGTGTCCATACGTTTGTTCTCTACATCTGTGTCTCAATTTCTGCCCAGCAAACCGATTCATCTGTACCATTTTTCTAGGTTCCACATACATGCGTTAACATACGATATTTGTTTTACTCTTTCTGACTTACTTCCCTCTGTATGACAGTCTCTAGGTCCATCCACGTCTCAACAAATGACTCAATTTTGTTCCTTTTTATGCCTGAGTAATATTCCATTGTATATATATATATATATATATATACCACAACTTC